GAATACTTCCTAACCCAGTATTCCAGACAGCCAATAAGGAATTATGTGATGAGCAATGTGAATGAAAAATCAGTTGTCCTTTTTGAAATAAAAGAAAAAGTAGTGAAGTTTGATTAATTTAAAATGTTATTTCTTAATTTTTTTTAGTCCTTTCTTGCTTTCCATTTGAGTGATTTTTTTCTTCATGTATAAGTTATATATCTACTTTTTAGAAGTATACTCGTGGGAAATTAGTGTGATGATGATGCAAGTGTCTTCAAGTCCATCACCAACGGGCTAGCCTAGACAGGCTCACAGACCAAAATTAAGATGCTGAAATCATGTTTATTAAATCAATTTAAAGCATACAGAAGGAAGCAAGGAGACACAGTAGGTTAATAACGTAGTTAGGAAAGGGTACAATTGGTATGTTAGGATCAAATTACCTGAATTCTATATTACAAATTGTTCATGTCATCTCTCCTATTCTTCAAAGTATCAACTTTTCCCAATAACATTGTGGTTTATAAGGACCCAAGTCGAGGATGAGCAAAGTAGGATCCACAGATGGAAGGTGCCTAGAACCAATTCATATTTTCTCTACCAGAAAGACTCAGGGACTAGTATGCCTGGCTTTAGTTATAACCTTGTTGGGCACCCATGGATTTTATCCAAATGTCTTGAGCAGAGGGCAGAAGGGGCCTCATCTGTCTCTAGAATGCTTACCTAGACCTTCTATCCCTTCTGTCTCTGTGTTCACAACACATGTGCTCTGCTTACTTTATCAGTTTCTAACTCTAACATATCCATATATCTTCTCTTCTTCCTTTCCTTTCCTTTTTTTTTTTTCTAGTCCCTGAATTGAATATTCTTGAATGATGCAGCAAATACACGACAGGAATAACTTTTGAAATTTTTAACATGCATACTTGATTTCACAATGTCCAAAATTAATCAATAACTGTAGCCTCCTCTCAAAAAACAGAATTTAGAAAGAGCATATTCCACCCTGACTTCCTCTTCTTTCATGTTATAGCATTTTAATTTTCTTGATTATTATATATCATTCATATGCTTTTTTTTTTTTTAAGACAGAGTCTCGCTTTGTTGCCCAGGCTAGAGTGAGTACCATGGCGTCAGCCTAGCTCACAGCAACCTCAAACTCCTGGGCTCAAGCAATCCTGCTGCCTCAGCTGGGACTACAGGCATGCACCACCATGCCAGGCTAAGTTTTTCTATATATATTAGTTAGCCAATTAATTTCTTTCTATTTTTAGTAGAGACGGGGTCTCGTTCTTGTTCAGGCTGGTTTGGAACTCCTGACCTCAGGCAATCCACCTGCCTTGGCCCCCCAGAGTGCTAGGATTATAGGCGTGCAGATGGTTTTTTTAAAAAAATTTATCCTGTTAAGGACTAACTGTATTCTTCCATGAGTCATTTTTTTCTTTATATATGAGAAATTCTCTGCCATTTTCTCTTTGAATAGTGCTTTCCCTCCATTTTTATTTCTTTTTGGAATTTCTATTAGATATGTGTTTGAACTTCTTATATCCTTAAGGATGTAATATAACTTCACTTTATATTCTGTATTGTTTTAATCCTCTGTGCTATACTGTGGGTAATTTCCTCAAATTTATTTTCCAATTTAATAATCATCTCTTCCACTGTATCTAGTCTATTTAATCTATCTGTTGAGGTTTTTTTTTTTTTTCAATAGAACATAAGCTCTGTGATAATAGGGAATTTGCATGCCTTATTCACTATTTCATCGCCAGCACCTAGAACAATGCTAGAGCTTTGTGGATGTTCAATAAATATTTGTCAAAAGTATTAATGAGTTGATAAATTCCTATTCTTTTTCAAAGATTTCTATTTTTTATCTTATCTTGTTCCTTCACTTGACTTTTATTTTCCTTCTTTTATGTTTTTAATCATTTTATGGATTTTTCTTTGGTAGTCACTTTCAGGTTGGTTTATTAACTCAAATTGTTTGGGCACTGATTTTTCTATTTGTCGTATTTTTACTCTGCCTTGTGGTGGACTGTTCCCTTATGTGACATGCAAATTTTACTGAGAGCTCATCTTTAGTAATGGTTGTTTATTTTGTGGGATTCTGTTGTGTCCTGAGCTATGCAAGTGTCCTTATCAAGGATCTTAACATTTCCTTCTGTGAGGGCCTGGCAGTTTCTCTGTTTCTAAGCTTAGGATTCTATTTTCAAATGATAATGTTCAATTGGAAATAAACTGCAACAATCAATTTTCATGGGAACCATTATTCTCAGCCCCACCCAACCTAGATTACTGAGTTAGAAGATAAGCTTCTTAGGCCTCAAAAAGTGAAAACCTCTTTTGAGTTCTAGTTTATGCAGGAATGTTGTTATTTCTAGCTCAAATGTCATTCCTAGGTAGAAAGATGATTTGGTTCCACAGGTCGTGCTAGTGAATTTCATCCAAGAGACTATTATTAAGAATCACCATCTCATTTTTGATTCTTAGAGTTTTTGGCAATAGAATATGGATATTACTATTAAAATCAATTCACCAAATAATACTGTGCTAAATATTTCAGGGTATACAGATGACTAACATAGTTTCTATACTCAAGATGCAAACATTATATAATACAAAGGCTAAGAAAGGTTTATAAATAATCATAAGGCAGAAAGTCTTCAAGTGTTATAGAGATGCACATAGCTCTTTAGAATAATGCATGTTACATTTATTATTAAATAAATTACTGAGCTTGTTAAAACAGTGACAAGGGAATCAGAAGGCATTTTCTAATAGTACTAAGAGGAAACACTTCATGGTAGTGGTGCTAGTTGAAATGTGCCTTGAAGAATGATTGGGATTTCTAAAAGTAAAAATGGAAAGGGGAGGGAGTGGCTTTTCCAAGTACAAGGAAAAGCGTTAGTTTAGACAAGGGGCTGGGAGGGTGGAAGGCATCCAATAGGGAACAAGTAGTCTAATTTTCCGGATCAGGATGTTAGAATGACAGTATTATTAGAAAGTAAAAATAAAGAAATGAAAATAAAACATAGAGTAGGAGGGTGGTACAAGGTGGGCAGGAATTTAAAGGTAATTTAATTTTACATTTCTTACTGTCATATTTATCCAAAAAGAAAGGGTGATGTTGAGTTAATTTTTAAGGATAAATTTCAGAATTAGGATCACTTAAAATTTAGATTGGGCAGTGTTTTCTTCTTAATGACCTCTGATTGGTTAGTTTCACTAGTTGCCAGGAAGGTAAACTGAATCAGCACTTTTGTCTTTCAGGCATACAAGTACCATCTAGTGGCAAAAAAAGGCAACCACAAGAATGGAATTCTCTCTATATAGAAAACATTTACTTGTTTATTTTTTCACTTGTTAATTTATATTATGATTAGCTAATGACAGTGGGCCATGTTCTACCTGGATAGGAAAATGGATTAGTCTAAAACAGTAACATTGCTTGATTATTAGAGTAAGAGAATGTGAGATCAGATTCAAATGGATTATGGATAAAGAGCTTATTAAATATGAGGTATTTGAGAATTTTACATCAGGAACTTAACACCAAATTATATTTTGGCAATAAAACTTAAATGAGGATATGAGCTTGTAGGCAGAGTTGAAAAAACCAAAGTCAGTGTAAATGAGAAAAAGGCTGAAATAGTGAAGGTAACAGTATTCTTCCAGAATGTTCTCTCTTTCCCCTTTGCCTAACTCTTACTTAATCTTCAGTCCTAAATTTAGATATGACTTCTTCTGGACATTTCTTGACAACCCAAGTCTGTTTTAGATGACTATCCAATGTCCTCCTACAGACCATGATGCTACTGACCACACTTCATTGTCACTTTCTGTTTAATAGCCTTCACTACAGTGTATATTCCTGAACAGCTGGTACCATGTCTGTTTCATCCACTGTTCTATCTCAAATGCTCAGCATAGTACCTGACATATAATAGGCACTCACAAATATTTACAGAATGAGTGACATATTAATGAAGAAAGTAACTGTAATGGAAATGTGCAGGTTACAAATATTAAAAGTTAGCTTAAATAAGAAAATAAAAATATTTTCAGAAAGTAGTGGAAAAAATTTTTCTTTACTTTATATTGATTCTTTTTTTTTTTTTTTTTTGAAGATGCTTAATTTTTTGCCCAGGGTATAGTAGGTTCTGTGTCGGCCGCCTAGCTCACAGCAACCTCAAACTCTCTGGGCTCAGCGATCCTACTGCCTCAGCCTCCCGAGTAGCTGGGACTACAGGCATGCGCCACCATGCCCGGCTAATTTTTTGTATATATATTTTTAGTTGGTCAATTAATTTATTTCTATTTTTGGTAGAGATGGGGTCTCGCTCAGGCTGGTTTCGAACTCCTGACCTTGAGTGATCCACCCTCCTCGGCCTCCCAGAGTGCTAGGATTACAGGCGTGAGCCACCGCGCCCGGCCTTATATTGATTCTTTATATGATGTCTATTTATTTGTAATTTTTGGTGCTTTATATTATAGTTTTCAGAGTACTTAACTTCTTTCTGCCTTGGTGGAGGAAACATAAGAGTACATAGCTCATGTGTCATTATAGAGATTAAATAAAGGACTATACATAAGCATATAGAACAGTGTATATAGTACATATTATGCCTTATGTGTCTTAACAGTTAGATTTTATTATTTCTCATATTTCATCTCATAAACTTTCTGAAGCAACCCAGAGAGTCAAAGAAGACAGCTATTTTATAATCTTATTTTACAAATTAGGAAACTAGTGATTACGAAAGATAACTATGAGTAATATGTGATTATGGAGAAACCTCAGTTATTAAGTTTCTGAATCCACAATAGCTAAGTAATCATTCATTGTCCTTTCTATGGCATCATGTAGCTGGCTTAGAGGGAGATAAGAAAAGAAATGACATTTCGATGCTAAATAATCACAGTGCTACGATGCAGAGAATGAAAATAAATTTTCTATTGCTGCTGTAATAAATTGCAACAACATGATTTAAAACAACCCAAATTTATTATCTTACCATTATGTAGGTTAGAAGTCCAACATACTGGTCTTTTTTGGATAAAGTCAGGCTGTTGGCAGGGCTCTGTTCCTTTCTGGAAGCTGTAGGGCAGGGTCTGTTTCCTTCATTTTTCCAACTTCTAGAGGCCACCCACATTACTTCCTCCCATCTTCAAAGCCAGCAAGGGTGGGATGGGTTCTTTTCACATCACATCACTCTGGCATCCTCTTCTGTCCCCCTCTTCTACTTTTAAGGACCTTTGTGATTACATTGGCTCCCATGAGACAATCAAGGATAAGCTCCCTATTTTCAGGTTAGCTAATTAGTAAACTTAATTCCATCTGTCATCTTAATTCCATCTTTCCACATCCGTAACATATTCATAGGTTCCAGGGATTAGGATGAGGATATCTTTGGAGAGGTCATTATTAGTGAATTCTAAGGGAATAGCATCCAGGGAATGAAAGGAAAGAGGCAGGTGGGGCTTGCATTTTCAAATGGAAGTGTCAAGGGTGCAGGGTAACCCTCACATTGATCTTGACAGACACAAAAACCTCTGGATGTATTTTGCATGGCTAATCTAGAATCTATCCTACTTTGCACTGTACAGTTTTATTTTTTTAACTTGAATGTAGAACTTTTCACATGTTTCTCTTAAATTTTATCTTTTAGGTTTTAGCTCAGAGTTTAAACTGTTAAAATAATTTTGTGTTTTGGCTCTGTCTTCAATCATATGTTCTGTGCTATGTAGTTTTTGTTTCATCCACTGATTTGACCAGAATGATTTATATGTCTTCACTGTTGTAACTTATGAAAAAATATGAACAAAAGTCTGCATATAATTATCCAACTAACTTTGAATTCACTTAATTATATCAGGCTTTTACTTTAGGTTCTTAAAGACAAGGTATCATGAAAGACTAGGTTAAATGCTTTGCTGAGATTAATTTATAATATGGCTAAAAAATTCCATCTTAACTCTTAAGATCAAATAAAAAAGAAGTATGGTATGCATGACTTGTTTTATTTTAGTTGCTTTGGTTCCTAGCGACCACCAAACCCTTTAATACATTATATACTCTGAAATTTTACTTTTCTGTTCTACAGTTTTCAGTGTCTACCTTTACATCATTTTTAAAAAGATGATCTATCATCTTTTTCAGTTTTTACAGTTTCTCAGAACTTACCAGCAATGGGTCTTAGGTTACCTGCAGACAGCTGTGGGATATAATTTGAGCCTGGAAACATGAACTTATTTGAAACACACAGGTGTTCTTTTACTGCCTCCTCACCTATCTCAAATTTCAGTTATCTTCCTATATTGTTTCACCTCTATCAATTTAAAGTCCATTTTCTTTACTGAAGAGAGAAAGAAAACATAAATTCAGTCTAGACTATCTTTAACCTTTACATTATTCTTTTAGGTAAATCGCAAACTTTGTGTTTATAAGAACCTACAAAAGCTTATTTACCTTTGCCCTCTAAAACATTCTCTATTTTAATTAAACTAATTTTCCCAACTTTTCTTCTTGATGTTACCAAGTAACTCGGCTCTCAATGATTTTTCTATACCACTTTATAATTTACACCATATAATTTAACAGTAAAACTAATATTATCTTACCTTGTTTGATGATTTTTAATTATTTTTTGTCTCTCAGAATAATTGTTGATTTCTTTACCTTTCTTTTGGTTCACCTGGAAACCTGGGGCTCTTATGAAGCAAGAATACTAGGCATGTGGTAAGTACTCAGTGGTTGGTTGAATTTTAAATATCATATTTGGCTGTATGTTCTTCAAATGTCAATTTTCTAGAATAATTTTCCTATTTGGAGACAGAAAGGATAAAATACTTGAAAAATTTTTTCTTATAATATAAACAATATTAATAATAGTGTTAGTAGCAGCAATAAATATCAAACAAACTAAAACTACCTTTAGAAATCATTTCCTTCTCCAACCTCTCCCATGGAACCCTCCACCAATCATTAATTCATCATTTCCTAAGCTATTGAATAAAAATTTCAGCCACATTTGGCATATTCTATTGGTAAAGATGCTTGATTCCCTGTCTACTTTGTCAGCTAAGACTACATTTCTTTGTCTTGCCTCATTCTAAACAAAAGGACCAATTTGAAATTCTGTGAAATTATACCTAATTTAAACTCTGAATTTAGAAACCACATCACTTCTCTCGGCAGCATTTTTAGCTTTCTAGAAATGTTAAATGTTTAAAAACAAACACTAGTGTTTAATAATAATATTGAAAAATGCCCATGTAATTTTTAATGTATTTATAATCATGCAAACTAATGTACTAATTTGACATGGGAAAAATTTGCTGTGACAATTTAGTAATTACGCTCTTAATTTTGGCAAAAATAGAATAGGAAATCCATTAAATAAGGCTTTGGCGTCTAACAAATAAAAAAGTAACACAAGTAGAATCCATTGTTCCCCAGCAGGAGGTTAGGTTGTAGGATGGTATTTAGGGTAGCAAGCCTAATTCTTTCTCTACATTAAATAGTGTCAAAATTCTGATTCACTGTTAATTTTGTACAGCTAGGCAACTTGTTAAATCTCAGTCTGCAACTCCTTTGATCTCTGTATTCCCATCTGATTTATTTAAGAAATTTATTAATGAGATATGGGGATTTGGGTTGCCGCCATGGCAACCCAGCAGTATGGCTTGTTTTTATTTCCTAGATACAAAAGCTCAGAAAGGAACAATATATCTTCCCTGCAGCTGCTTATTTAGTACTGGGCAGGATCTGGTAACTACAGAAATTTGGATTGAGATTATGTGGCTAAATTGTTTACAAGGTACAAAGTGTGATAAACAGCCTGCTCAAAAAGACAGTAAAATATGCCGTGGCCCATATATTAATTTGTAGCAATTTTTTTATTGAAAGGTCTTATCATTCATCCTATAAGAAGAATTTGACATACTCACTTTCCATGACTAGATAGTTTTTGTTGAGTGAGTGGTGACATTTTGTGGAGCTGATAATATTTGCATACTCTTTTGTACATGCGTTTTCTCACTGGTAGCATTATCAACAACATTTACTGTATACTGTGATGTAGAAGATCTGAAAATTTAAATTGGTATAAAAGAAAAGCTCTTAATTTCAGACTACTTACCACGTTTCATTGAAGAGATAGTAAAATAAATAAAATGATGTGAACGAGATGGTAGCGTGTGTGCAGTTGAGAAAGGAGTGAGGTCATTTTGTCTGGAGTGATGAGAGTTTTAGAGAAGAATTGGGCTTTGGTCATGTCATTTTGAAGCAATAGTCGAAGAGTAAGCCAGACAATGAATGACAGAGAACATTATGAGGAAAAGAAACTCAGAAACAAATTGTTAGGTTTCAGTCAGAAACAGTCGGTTCTTGGCGTTCTCATGGCCGAAGAATGACCAGACACGCCAAAATTAGGCAAGCAGGTAATTGAGGTTTATTGAGGAGAGAAAGGTAGGTATATAGGGCAAAAGCAAGATAAAGTCTTAAAGAGCATGGTACATACTCCACACACGATGACCGGATCCAGTGTCACATCAGAACCAGCAAGAGGAAGGGCCGAGAGAGAGCGCTTGGCTGTGGGCTGGGTCTTATTTTATAATGCCTGTTAGGCACCGCCCTCATAGTTCAGAGGTCACCAGAGCACCACTTTGATTGGACAGTTGGGAGTCATATGGCCTGAGCCTTAACTACGCACAGGGGTTCTAGGTCACTTTTCGGACTTTATGGTAACCATAGGGCTTGGCCTGTGGGCTAGAGAGTCCTCTGCATTCTTTTTTGCAGCTGGCGGGCCAAGTTCTGATTGGCTGATTCAGTCAGGGTTGGGCCAGAACAAGATGGGGGCAATAGCACCCACTTTTGTCCCTAGGGGACCCAGGATACCTTACTATCTACCTCACAAAATGCGTAGAATAGTTGTAGGAATGAGTAGACTTCTGAAGTTAAAGCAAGTTAAAGGTACTAGTGAGAAATGCCTTTGGAGCGTTGGGGTGAAAGTATAGTTCAGTAACATTTTTGCCAAGTTTATCTTTGACCTACATTTATTTACTAGGCTACTGAGAATGCATTCTTCTGAATTTGTAGCTAAAATGTTTTAGATCTTTGAAAAAGAGACAAAATATATCATGAATAGTTTCCATTTGCTGCCTTCTTTAGTTTTCTGTTGCAGTTTCTGGACATTCTTGTTCCTCCTCTGCCTGACTCCCACTGCCCTATCTTTTAATCATCATGGATTCTGATGAACCTCTTTGACTTCCTATTTAATTCATATTCAGTAAGAAAAGTAAAACTTGATTCCTTGATTTTGTGTGTGTGTGTGTCTTTAGAATTTAGAAAGCAGAGTGATTTGTTGGGGAGATTTGGGTTAAATTTGAGAAGCAGAAAAAACAAAGATAAGTTTAAAAACTACATGATGTACACAGGTTTGACAGAATTTTTTCTTTAAAAAAAGGTCTTTGTGCAGGGAAATGTGACTATACAGAAAACTGGAGAGGAAAATATTCAATGTTAGTATTGTGAGCTTTTATTTTCCCCACAATAACTTTTGACCACTATTTAGGTCACTTCGAAACTCAAAACACATTGTATTTTTAGCGAAACAAGTGCGGTATACAATCTCCCACAGATGCCATATGTCTCAGGCCGTTTGGAAAATTCAAGATCTGCCACATTCCTAGACTTTGATGCAGACGCTGCAGGAACTACAAGCATCCTCAATGTGCAGCCGGCCTAGGCAGGTGAGAACCGGTGAGGAGGAGAAGCTGGCGAGGACTAGGCAGCAGTTATGGAAATGGGACACAGCACTCCAGACGCTGCGGAGGGCGCTTGTAGAGGCCCACCCAGTGCCAGCAAACAGATAAAGGATTCTTAAATCTAGAAAGGGCTAGGGAGGCAGATGAGGAGCCAGCTGCGGGCCAAGGTCACCCGCTAGAAGGCGGCAGGGCTGCGACTTCAAGCCTGTTGTTTTGCCCGTGCCTCAAGAGATAGGGTGGCGACATCTCCACAGAGGAGGACGATCCAAGTCGCCGAAAGCCCTGGGAATGAGTCTCGAGGCCCGGTTCCAGCGGCTCTGGGGACAGGCAGGCCCGGGGGACCCAGGCCACCGTGAGTCAGCGCTCACCCCGCCCCCAGGGGCGCTCCCCTTCCGGGCGCGCGGCGCGGCCTGCGTAGGCCTGGGCGCGCGAGGCCGCGTGGCGGGAGCGTGCGCGTACGCGGGACTGCGTTTCCTAGGAGCCTCGCCATTAGGTGCTTTAGGCAGGAGGCGGGGTGCGAGTTTGGCGCCGCGTGCTCCCCTCTCAGGCGCGCTGCCGGTCTTGCCTGCGCCAGTGTGCGCCGGGGCCGCGCGACGGGGGCGCGCAAGTGCGCGGGGCCGCTCCCTCACCCATTTCCAAGCTCTGTCACTCCCACGGTCTCCGCTGACTGAGCGAGCCCGGGCCTGACGACGCTGCAGCTCCGGCCCTGAGGTGAGAAGGGCGTCGTGGCGAGCGGCGCTTGAGGCCCTCTTGGGTCAAGCCGGTCCTGGGGTACTGAGGGGGTCCGGGAGCAGCGGCTGTAGGCGGCCTCTGCTGAGGGGAGGGAAGGGGAGTCGGGGTCTGAGGTGTGGGGCACAGCGGGCTCGGCAGGGGCGGAGGTGGCGAGCTGAGGGAAACGAGCAAACCTCTCGTTTGCCCGAGGAAGCGCGATTTGCCCGCCCGAGGGCTGCAGGGGTGTGGATGGCGGGGCTCTGGGCCGAGGACGCCGCGGGGAACCGTGGGGACCGAGTCTGGCCGTGGGACAGTGCGACGCTGCAGTTGGTCGGACGTGGTCGAGTCCATCCTCAGAGCAGCCTTTGAGAGAGAACGAAAACAGAATGTTGTCGCAGCAAATTTTCCTCCGAACAGCTGGATAATTAGCACTTGCTGTTTATTCCTTGGGGGGTTTTGGTGCTGCTCATTATCGCGTCTGTGAAAAGGAGTTTGGGTGAGAAGAAAATGCGCAGGTCTCGCTTGACGCGATTTGGGGAGGAAATACCCTGCTTCCTAAAACACTCAGAAAAGCTCCCGGCGTGGGAATATTTCAGCGGGTGGGAAAGCTAGGTAGGGCTTGAGACGATAATAGCTAAAGGAGGGTTTCTCCAGGACTCCTTAGGCTTCTGTTTACGTTTTGGATAACTAAATCTGAAAATAATAAAGATAACCACGTTTACTTTCTGTCGTGGGCCTTCTGAAGGAATCTAAGGGGAAAAAAGTATTTGTTGGACCCTAGCTATGTGCCAAGTTCAGTAGTATCTCGTTTAATTCTGACAGCAGCTCTGTGAGGCTGGGGGTGTTATTCTAGTTGGGCAGCTGTGCAAAATGGGCCTCAAAGTGGTTAAGTTAATTTACTAAGGTCGCACCTTAGTAAAAAGGTGCAGCTGAGATTTCAACCCAGGGATGCTGGGCTCTAATTCTGGTGCTTTATGCACTATATTTTGTGTTTGCCCAGAGAGCACTATTTTTTATATATATATATATTTTTTTTAGGGAAGAGTCCATAGGAGAGAATATGGTTAGGGCAGTTAGGGTGTTTGGGGTATTTGTATTAAAATCAAACTAAAGAGGCACTCATTTTCCAATATGTGCTGTTTAAGTGTATTTCCCTTCAAATGGGGTTTAGTATAGAGAAATCTTACATTGACTATAAGAACAAATTTGTTAATGTTCATTCAGTGTCTTTTACATTCCAGATACTTATACTGTGTGCCAAGAGTACCAAGATGAATACAATTTATAATCTCCATTCTGGAGTTTGATTGAGAGAGTCACTGTATAAAAGAATTTTGTAACATTCCATGAAATCATATCTTTACTAGTATGTGCATTGTTTTATTAAAAATAGTTTTAAGCACAAACTTTTAGAAACATGTATGATAAAGTTTATTGGATAACTTGTGGTTTGTGTACCATTGCATTGTTTTATCCTTCAGCAAAAAATACTATCATAAAACTTAGGTTATGTTATATTGACAATTAGTATTTTGTTTTAGTGACCAGCTTCAGTAAATTTTAAAACAATAGAAAAGATGAGAGCATTTATAATTTGTAAGGTAAAAGGCATATTTTATAGTGCTTTTATTTTATTGATCGAAGCCAATAATGTAGCTGGGCCGGAATTTCTTTCATGTGCCAGGTATGTTTTAATCTCTCCTTCCAAAAAAAAAAAAACCTCAGTTTAATTTGGTATTATTATAGCTAATACCAAATTCCATTTAAGTTTTTGTGGTTCAGAGTTCTAATAAAAACTGCCTTTAGTTTAAGCTGAAATGGCACATTGTTGAAATGTTACTTTAGGCACAGATGTAGGTGGGGGATGGAAAGAATAGGGGCAGATTTTTAAAGTTTCTTCTGATTGCTTCAGTTTTTTCAGTGAAATAGGAATCAAGGTCCCAATCTGAGGGTGATACTACAAATGGGAGCTTTGAAGGTTTGGGTATTGGGAGAGGAAATGGACTAGTGAAATCTGTGATTGCCAGGAAATTAAACAATTACAATTACGTGTGAAAAAGTGCAGTAGAGAAAATGTATGGGTACACAAAATAAGGGTGTCTAATTTTGCATACCAGGTGTTTCATTTTCTTTTTTCATTTTTTTCTTTTTCTAAATTTTTTTTTTAATTGCAGCATATTATGGGGATACAAATGTTTAGATTACATATATCGCCTTTGCCTCACCTGAGTCAGAGCTCCAAGAGTGTCTATCTCCTAGATGGTGCAGACTGCACCCATTAGGTGTGTATATACTCATCCCTTCATCCCCCATCCCATCTGCCCGACACCTGATAAATGTTGCTACTGTATGTACACTTAAGTGTTAATCAGTTAATACCAATTTGATGGTGAGTATATGTGATGCTTGTTTTTCCATTCTTGTGATACTTAGTAGAATGGACTCCAGCTCTATCTAGGATAATACAAGAGGTACTAGATCACCATTGATTTTTGTGGCTGGATAGAACTCCATGGTATACATATACCACATTTTATTAATCCACTCATGTATTGATGGGCACTTGGGTTGTTTCCACATCTTTGCAATTGTGAAATGTGCTGCTGTAGACATTTGAGTGCAAATGTCTTTTTTTATAGAATGTCTTTTTTCCCTTGGATAGATGCCCAGTAATGGGATTGCTGGATCAAATGGTAGTTCTATGTGTAGTTCTTTGAGGTGTCTCCATGTTACTGTCCACAGAGGTTGTACTAGTTTGTAGTCTCACCAGCAGTGTATGAGTGTTACTATCTCTCCACATCCATGCCAACATTTATTGTTTTGGGACTTTTTGATAAAGGCCATTCTCATTGAAGTTAAGTGATATTTCATTGTGGTTTTGATTTGCATTCCCCTGATGATTAGAGATGTTGAGCATTTTTTCATATGTTTGTTGGTCATTAGTCCATCTTCTTTTGAAAAGTTTCTGTTCATGTCCTTGGCCCACTTTTTTGATAGGGTCGTTTGATATTTTCTTGCTGATTTTCCTGAGTTCTATATAGACTCTAGTTATCAGCCCTTTATTAGATGTGTAGCCTGTGAATATTTTCTCCCATTCTGTAGGTTGTCTGTTTGCTCCCATGATAGTTTCCTTGGCTGTACAGAAGCCTTTTAATTTAATCATGTCTCATTTATTTATTTTTGTTGTTGCTGTGATTGCCTTTGGGGTCTTTTTCATAAATTCTTTGCCTAGGCCAATGTCTATAAAAGTTTTACCAATATTTTCTTCTAGATTTCTTATAGTTACATGCGTTAGGTTTAAGTCTTTTATCTTCCCTGAGTTGATTTTTGTGAGAGGTGAAAGTCCTGGATCCTATTTCAGTCTTCTACATATAGCTATCCAATTTTCCCGGCACCAGTTATTGAATAAGGATTCTTTTCCCCAGTTTATGTTTTTGTCTGCTTTGTCAAAGATCAGATGGCTATATGAAGATGGTTTTATATCTGAGTTCTCAGTTCTTTTCCATTGGTCTATGTCGCAGTGGTTGTGCTAGTGTTATACTGTTTTAGTTACTATAGCCTTGTGATATAGCTTGAAGTCTGGTCAATTGATGCCTCCCAATTTGTTCTTTTTGCTTAAGATGGCTTTTGCTATACAAGGTCTCCTCTGGTTCCATACGAAGCATAGAATTATTTTTTCTAGATCTGCAAAAAATTATGTTGGTATTTTAATAGGGATTGCATTGAGTCTGTAAAGTCACTTTGGGTAGTATAGACATTTTAACAATGTTGATTTTGCTGACCCATGAGCATGGTATGGTTTTTTACCTGTTTATGTCCTCT